GGGGGTGTGGGTGTGTATGTCACTGTGTGTGTGCATGTGGGTGGGTGTGAGTGCTATGTCCCCACATAAACAGTACCACGCAACCATTTCCACACACACAGTGACACCCTACTTTATTCCCACACACACACAGTGAGACCCTACTTTATTCCCACACACACACACACACATACACACAACTCACGTGTGATGACAACCTGTCCCCAGGTCTGTAGCCGGTCAGCTGATCCGCGGTGAGTCTGTGATGGCGGAGACCTACGAGTCTGTGACCATCTACTTCTCGGACATCTGTGGCTTCACGGCGCTCTCGGCCGAGAGCACAGCCATGCAGGTGAGAGGCCGAGACACGTTGTTAGTTTTAGTAAGGTTTTGTTTTGTTTTACTAGAGGTTTTACGGCGCTCGCAACTACATGAGGCCATATGAGCGCCAGAAGATTTGAAGTGTTACAAGAGAGAAACAAACATAAAAAAGAAAAGGGGGAGATACGGATGATAGATGTTTGATAGGAAAGAAGAAGCAAACCACACCAGAGCACCCGCCAACCACCCACTAGTAAGGTTTTACGGCGCTTGCAACTGTATAAGGTCATATAAACGCCACGGTACGCTGTTGGTTTTAGCAATGCTGCTTATGCACAGTAGAATTATTGAATTGTAAATGGGCTGAATCCTCAATGTCATACTCGTACTGTGCCGGAACAACATAGGGGGAACTGCTGCTTTTTCTTTTCTCATCCATCCATACTATCGTCATTTTATCTCTACTATCCCCCCTTTGGGAATGCCCTGAAGACAACTACAGTCAGTAGCACTGACCTGTTGGGAGGTAGGCCATGAGAGGGTGAACTCTTGAGTGACAACGCAAATATGTGTGATGCAGCGTGGTGGAATCAGGCTCTCGTCAATTTTGGGGCATATTGAGTTATTGGTATCATCTTAAAGCTTGTTCACTTGTCTTTATTTGGATGGAAAAAATGTCCATTTATCTTGAATACAAGTGGAGATATTTGCGAATGAAAGAGGTGGGGGTCACCTGTTTTCAGAGGAAAATTAGTGAGAAAATGGTCGCCAAAGATTGGTTATTTCCTTAGCTTAAGAGTCCGTGGTAACAGAAAATTTATATTCTTTGTGCCTTAAATCAACGTTTTTCAGAAAAATCCACACAGAAATAAGTTTTTTTAATATGCATGAAAGGTGTTGAGCAAAAAAACAAAAATTTGATAAAAATTCAAAAACCTGCGGAAAAATGCAAGTTTCTTCACTTTGATTATTTTGACGAGAGCCTGATTCCACCACGCTGCCTCACATATATGATGCATTGTGGTGACTTAAAGCGTCGTCAAAATGATGAAAACAAAGAAACCTGTATTTTTCTGGGAGTTCGGCATATCAAACTCGGAGGCCCTGTCTCTTAAATAACCTAGATAATAGTGTTGATAGGAGCGCTAAACCAATACCACTTCAACATTTTCCACTAGAGACAAAGTTGCGACACATTTTGAACTCACATACTTCGTATTACGTAAATCAGAATTTTTCCAATTCCTTTCTTCAGTCTGCTCCAGATATCGCATTATAAGTCCAGTAAATTTGTTACAGCAATAACAAACGCAAACAGTCTTCTGTGGTGATTCTTTAGTGTTTGTCTTTAACAGATCATTTTACCAATGGTGCGTCTTCACATTTGACTTACTGAAGCTGAAGCCATTATTGTGTACTTAATCTTAAAAAAAGGCTTGAATATTGTTTCAATTACTATGATATTATAGTCGTTTTCGACCGGTCTGGCTTCTGTAATCGTAGATCGCAGGTCATACCATAGACGTCTGTCAGAATACCCTAGACCGTTCAGTCTGACTTTTTTACAGTACAGTCCTCTATAAAGTCAACCCTTCTAGATTAATGACAGGAATAAAGAGTTGTGTATGTGTGTGTGTGTTGGGCGGGGGG